TTCAATAAGAAAAACTTGATATAAATGGAGTTGCTTATAGTCATTATAAATTCTATTCCATTACAATTTAATTCAATAATCCGCAAATCGTTATTTTCCGTAATTTTTTTATCTCCGTTTTTTTTAGAAATTTTAAAACCAATTGCTTTTATTTTCCAGAAATTCTTTTTTCGAGTGCGGTCGAAAGGAGCTGTAATGAGGCTTGAGGTGGGTTGGGGTTCGCTGGGTTCTCTATATGTACTTTGCTGCTTTCAGCTTTCTGACACAAAAGTGCAGCTGGGCTTGGCTTGGCTCCTGCGAGTTCTGCTTTTTCGGGCTCCACCTCCAACGACTTCTTTCGCCCCTTATCTCCGGCAGCTACTGTTGCACATTTCGCATTTAATGTGACAATGTCACTTTGTTTGTGCCCGGCTATCTGACTGTTAATTTCCAAGACTCCGGCAAGTTCACACTCTTAATTGGATTTGAAAGTGCAGCAGGCGCAGTTGACACCTTCTTTCTCCCGGCACCTCCTTTCTCACCTCACCTCACCTGAACTGAACCGAACCGAACTGAGCCTCACCTGACAGCTGATTAGGCTCCTGCGAATGGGGTTAACCCCATAAGGCGGAAAAAGTCCAACACTTTTCGGTGGATCCGTTAATGAGCTTAGCCCCACTAAATGATAATGCTTGGGAACGGAGTTTAGGAGATGTACTAACGGTGGCATAGATGGAATCGCTATGGGTCTTTTGGCCGATAGAATCTTAGTTGCAACTATCACAACAAGAGAAAATTAAAATAAAAGCTCGAGGAACCTATTTTGTTTAATTATCTACTGAATTCCAAAATAACTATCTAAAAAATTAAACAACATTTTTAGAGACGGTTAAACTAATTTTTTAGGTTTAAGAGCTACTTTAAGTTTACCATGAGGACGGGAAAAATTTTTAACACAGCTTCCCTTCGTTAATTTTAAATAGGAAAATCTGTGGTGTCTAACCAACCAAAACTGGAAAAACGCTGTCAATTGCCATTTGAAAAATGTTTGTCAAAACCACAAAACGCTAAAAAGCTAAAACCGCAAAATGCAGCTAAATATCAAATGAATTCGATGTGATTGCTGTTAAATGGTGTTTAATTTGACAGCTAATGGAAAGTCATAAGGGGGTTAAAGGTGCCACCCTATAAATATGAAAAAAAATCAAACCAAATGATGAGCAGCTGAATGTCACAAAAGCCTGCCGGTGATTGACTGAATGAATGGGATGATTGAGTGCAACCAGGACTGCAGTTCCTTACTCTGGAAATATGAACCCAATTCCCCGCCTTGACAGTTCACTTCGTTCGCTTTTCCATTTATCATCGCAGACCCATATATATATTTATTTGTAAGTGGCGAAAGAAAAGCGAAAAATCGAACAAGTACTGGGTCAGCATTGAGTTGCACTTTGCACACAGGCAAAGCAAACAAGTAAAAATCGGAATATCGAAGCAAATAGAACAGCAAAGTGAAAAGATAAATCCCCACAGGCGGGAAAACAAATCGAATGAATGAACACAATACGGCAGACTAAACAGAAGTTTACACTGGATTCGATTTCCATTTGGATTCGGATTCGGTTTTCCCCCTTTCACATTCAAACACTTTTCGCATTGGCAACAAAACAATTGAATAAGCCACAAAACCGCACCACAATAAAATTAGCTAGAAAATCTAATCAAAGGACCCCGAGGCGCCAAAGCAAAACAACAGCAACATCAACAAATAGGACAGCGTGTAATTACATCAGGAAAACTGCACAGAGCCAACAAAAGAAACAACCAATTGAACCGAACTGCAGCGAAAATCGAAATTGAAAATTAATTTCAAATTAATTTCAAATTCACAAAAGCGATAAATTTTGTGCAACATTCGTGACAAACCCACACACACATACAAAATTGGAGAATTGCAGGGGTCAAATTTGTCTGGTGATTCAGGAGGGGAAAGGGTTCGGCACTTCCTGGGTGTTCGACCTGTAAATGTCGAAAATACTTGTAGCAAAATTAACAGACAAGACAATCAGCCGCAAACAGCTGGCAAATAGTTGGAAAACTTGAAATATCCCACAGAGGTATACACTAATATTAATAGAATAATGAAGCTATTAAGATATTTAGTCTTCGAACGAAAATTACAATCAAAATAAATAGAGTAAATCCCAAAATGTTTACCTTTTGGAATCCGGTAAAAACAAAATTTTAAAATTTTTTTAAATATCTAAGTTGGCTGAAAAATCCAAGCATCCCCAAGAAATACTTCCAAGAATAAGTGATATTCACACATGGACAGATAGTGTCACCACAACAGCTGCCGTTGGTCATTTCCATGAATGTTCAAAAGCCAAAAGCTGTCGATTAGCCAAGGGGTTGAGGACCGAAAAGCAATTATGTCGGAGATATGGTGCTGAGGTAAATGTCAGTCAGTCAGTCAGATTCACGATTGAGACCCAAACTGTGACTCAAAATTAAATCCAATTCCCAACTGCTGAAATCATTGAAAGCCGCTGAGGTAAAAGAAGGATACAGATAGGAAACCCCCCCTTTTGCGGGGGTTTCGAGGATTATATATATTTCGGGGAAAACAATTATTTACTATCGCGATAGGAGCTTTGGCCATATGGTCATCATAAACGTGGACAAACCGTTAACAGATAAGGCCGAAGCCCCATCGAATGTTCGGTCATATCAATGCAATTGTCTGGGAATTAACGTTCCACGGCCACAACAACTATTCCACACACAAACCTATAATAATTATGAAACCCATCGTGGAGCAAAAATAAACAATTTCTTTTTATGACGTCCAACAAAATTCCAGAAAAATCATTCAAGGTACAAATAATACAACACAATAGTAATAATAAAAACCAAAAAACGTTGCATATTTCTGTGCAGCTTTAATTGCAAATTTGCGCGGCCACATAAAATAATGACCAGAGCCCAGTGACGAAAAAAATAATAATATTTTGTAAATGGGCAACGAGAAAGCCGAAACACCGTAAATAGCCATGGGAAAAAATAGCTTATTTGTTATGTTTTATCAGGCGGCAAGTAAAAACAACACTAAAAGTAATGAAGTTGTGCTGGGAATCGGATTGGGATGAAACCAAAAACATGATAGCCATACAATGGAACTGAATAATATATAAACTAAAAATATTTCGTAATATTTTAAAATAAGTAAACATTTTGATTTTTAATTTATTATAATTACAAATATTTATTTATAAATTGTTCAGTAACTATTATGTATATAAATAATACATAATTATATTTCGGCATTTTCTACAAGTATATCAAATAAGGTCTGGATTCTTTATAATTGTCTCTCCTCATCTCCACTGTTTCCTGGCATATGCAAATGTGATGCGGCTTGTCCAGGCAAATTTCATTATTATTTCACACCCCGAAAACAGAATCCTGAACCCACAATCACCAATTCCAGCCAACCGTAGCCACCCAGCAAACGCATTTTGGTATGTAAATATTTTGGCGCGTGCTCGGAGATCAGAGAAACTATGAGCAGACAGTGGAATTGAGGAGGGGAAGGTGGGACGACAGGAAGTGGTGCCAATATTTGCTGTTTTTTGTTTAATTAAAGCATTTTCCCCAATATTTTTCCCAGCCTGCATCCGGATGACCAATCTTTCCCTGCCTTTCTACGCTTGAATTTTTTCCTATAAATGAAATGCAAATTTTCCTTTATATTGGCAAGCGGCCCAAATCCAATCCACATGAAATATTTAAGCCAAACAATTATGTCATGGCGAAATGGCCATAGGTGTTATAAAATATTCGTTTTATTAACTTTCAGAGATTCATTTCGGTTTTGTGGTGGATTGCCGTAGGTTGTGTTTTGTTTACCATTGAAATTACAAATTTTTTGCTCACGTTCTTGACCATTTACTATTTATTATTATAAAATCTGAGCTATATAAAATTAATTAGACCTTGACAAATATTGTTTTCAGTGAAATATTTACTTAGTGGTGCAGAAAGTCAAAAAGGAAATTCGAGTTAAAAAGTAAAGCTATTAACAAATTTAAAGTTTTTTTTAAATGCCCAAGATAGCAATCCAATTAGAAAGGTCGATTAGTCCTCCATCACTATTAACTTTAATCTAATTAAACGCCATCAAGTAACAAATTGAAAGATAAACTCAACTTACATGGCATAATCTGCTCAATAAAAACAATAGCCAAAAACCAACATTATTCCCACACATGGAGGGCTGCCATTAAACGCCCCCGTGCAGAAAATAAAAACCGAGACCGACCAAACAAAACTCGGCCATAAAGTCCATTAGTGGCCGTTTTGCATACGCAATGGGCTGCGCGACGGGGGCGTGGCCGGAGGCCAGAGGAAGCTAAAATTGTGGTCAGTGTGACAAGTTGCCAGAGGGTCCAGGGCTTCCAGCCCGACCACCAGCGCTCTGCTGGTTGTTGTAAAACTCATTTGGTGGCTGATAATTGCGTGCGTCGTCGGTTTTTGGGGCAACTCAACCGGGAGGCTGTCAAAAAATCAACTAAGTAAACAACGAGAAAGGGCGAAAAGCAGTAAATCCCCTGCAATGTCTCTTCCCATTTCGACCAGTGCAACGGGCGAAATTGCTAGACATAAACTGTTTGCACTGCAAAACTTGAGGGGGTAAATTATTATGAAGAAAAGCTATCACTCGAAATAATTAAATTGTCAAGTAAAAGTTTGTGGAATTACGGATCATAACTAAATTAAATACATTTATTTTACAATAGAAAAAAGTAAACGGAAACAGTAAAGCATTGCAGATTTACGGATCATAAATAAATTAAATAAAAGTATTTTTATGATAGAAAAAATTCCTAAGGTTTACCATAAAATATTTCCTAAAAATATTTATAGACAATAATACTATCATTTTAACTTTAAGTTTGAAATGGAAATATCTTTTATCTTATCAAAATAAAGTATAAAATCCCTTGGGGGCCTTGACTCACCTGATTCGTGTTCTCTGTCGACCGACTCCTCGTTGGCACTAACATCCTTTGGTCCTTCGGCCTCCAAATGCCTTTCATCGTCATCCGCTCCATCTTCATCATTGTCGTCGTCGTCAGTCTGCTGATTGCTGACGATGGGCAAACCGTTGACGACCTCGATGACACTTTGCACCGAGTCCATCGATGAGGTGGCAGATACCAAAATTGGCGTTGTTATGGGCGTGGCCACCGTGGACGAGGATGACGACCCGCTGAGCAGGTCACTCGACTCCTGATGCGAGTCCGGCAACTGGTGGCTCTCGAATTGCAGCTCATCCGGCGGCATCTCGACCACGGGACTCGTTTCCGCGGTCACTTGTTTGCCGTTGGGCGCCACATTTGGCAGGTCGACGCTGGCCAAGTTGATAATTGGCTGGGGCTGCGGCTTTTCCGCCTCATCTCGCTGCTCCACGCCCACAATAATGCGTTCCAGGGGCTTGGGCGGCTGGGCGTTCTCCAAGCTGCTGCGCCTTTGGCTGGGCGTGGGCTTGCCACCGGATCCCGCCACCTCACTCCTCTTGCTGGGCACCGGCGGAGGAGCTGTCTTCGGTTTGGTCAAATTGGCTGGCATTTTGGGTTTGTTCGTGGGCACCGGAGGCTTGGGTTTCGGCTTGGGCAGCGGCGTAGGCACCTTTTTCTCCTTCTTCTCCTGGGGAAGAATAATGTGCTTGTGGAGCACGTAGCCCAAATCGTCTTCCAGCGGAGGTGAGATGATCTCTACTTGTGTGGCTGTCGTTGCAGGAAGTTCGGTTTTCTTTTCGGAAACCATAACTTCTTCCTTGGAGACGGTGACTTCCTTGGTTGATTCCTTGTGACTGGTTGTCCCTGTCACTTGGGAGCTCTCTTGGATCACTTTCACTTCTTTGTGCACCACTTTGACAGCCTCTTTTTTGTTGATTTGTTGTTCCTGATGAGAAACCTTGACTTCATTTTGCAAGAATTCCTTGACTTTCTGATGAGAGACCTTGACCTCTTGCTTGACTTCCTCTTGAGAGACTTGAACATTCTCCTTAATTTCTTCTTTAACAACTTGGGTTTGTTCTTTGACTTCCTCATGTGAGACTTTAATCTCCTCTTTGACTTGTTCATTGGGACTCTTAAGCTCTTCTATTTGGATGTCCTCCTGAACTGGCTTTTGGATTTCCTCACTGACCTCGGGTTTATCCTCATTCTCCACCTGCTCGAAGGCACTTAGATCAAAGCCCTGGTCGTCGTCGGCCAATTCCAGTTTGTACAGCTTCTCGGCCTCCTTCTTCACCTTCTGGTAGCTTTCGATCAGCTTTTGGGCCTCCTGCTCGAGGCGTCGCTCCTCGTCGGTCTTCTTGAGCAGCTTGGCACCCTTTTTGCCAGCGATTTCCTTGCTCTGTTCCAGCTTCTTGGTGACCTGCTTTTCGCCATCGTTGGTCACCGTTAGCGTTTCGCTGAGCTCCCGTTCGAAAGTGGCTGGTTGGTCGCCATTCTCAACTGGGGATGTGGAATCCCCGGCTCCATTGAGGACTTGCTGGGCCTCCAGATAGGACTCCTTCTCACTCGTCTCGCATTCCGTGTAGGTTGTAAGTCCCTTGCTTTCGTTCAGCTGCTTTCCCCGCTCGGATAGGGTCAGAGTACCCCGCTCGATACTCTGGTTATCCTGAGGACACTCCAGCCGCTCCCTCAGACTCGACTCCTGGGTGATCGTGGCGGTCAACGGCTGCTCCTGCATCTCCTGCTCGTCGCCAAGGTCGAGCAGGTTGTCGTTGCTGCTGATCTTCTTGAAGCGGGCGCTGCTCGATTTCGAATTGGCACTCGTCACCAGCTGTTCCTCGCCGGTCAAGGCATCCCGGGTCCTCGATTCACTGAGGGTCTTCTGCTCGCTAAGCACACGTCGTTCCTCGTGAACGGTGGTAATGGGTTCCGAGAACCCATCCTCCCTTTCCTCGTAGGGTTGCAGCTTGAAGGCAATGTCTGGGATGAGGGTGGATGAGCTAGTGGAGGAACTGGAAACGGAACTGGAACTTGTCTTGGTGGTGACCACGCGAGTGGTGGTGGTGGTCTTCTGACTCCTCACAGAACTGCAGCTACTGGAGCTGACCTCCTGGGTTTGTTGGTTCGTTGTACTCTCGTTGCGACTTTCCACTTTCGTTTCACTTGCGTCATGGTCAGCAATCTTATCGTCAGTCAGCTGGGCCAGTACACCAGCGTTTACTTCCATTTTGGGCAACTTCTTCAACTCCTCTGATTTGACAAGGTTTCTGGATAGAAAAAAAATAAACCTCAGTAATTATAATTACGCCTCTTATCAGCAGTTGAGATATGCTAATTGACTTGTTGCCATCACACCTGCTTGGAAAAACGTCAATAGAGACAGGTTCGATCGGTTTCGAACCTTCGCCCAACGTTACCAAAATCACACTGATTCCAATTTTGTCGTATTTCCATCGCCCCTTATCGGGTAGTTGGAGCCCCCTTTATCAGTGTGTTAGTAAACACACCGGCATTTTGTCTTATCAGCCGTTTGTTTTTTATTTGTTTCGTTTTCTTTTTTATTTTTATGGGGGGTTACCTCTTTACCCTTTTGCCCCCGCTGACTGTTTTTCGCCACTCGCTTTGTTCTGCACTTTTTGCAACAATCACTTGCTGATCACTTGCTTGTTTGGAAAAATCCCCCATTTTTTTCTACAAGAACTCGGAGTTAGGTAACCTAATTTATCAATGGACTTGCTCGCTGCGCGTAACTTTAAATATTCCTAAGGTTGTATATATGTTCATTGTTTTCTATGTAGAGAAGTTATAATTTGAAATACATTTATTTAGACAATCTACAATTGCTTGTAAATGACCCATTGCTGTGCGTAAGGACTATATTTATACCCTTGCAGAGGGTATTATGATTTCAGTCAGAAGTTTGCAACGCAGTGAAGGAGACGTTTCCGACCCCATAAAGTATATATATTCTTGATCAGCATCACTAGACGAGTCGATCTAGCCATGTCCGTCTGTCCGTCCGTCTGTCCGTCTGTCCGTCCGTCTGTCCGTCTGTCCGTCCGTTTCTACGCAAACTAGTCTCTCAGTTTTAAAGCTATCGGGATGAAACTTTCGTAAAAGTCGTATTTCTATTGCAGGTAGTATATATGTCGGAACCAAACGGATCGGACAACTATATCTTATAGCTCCCATAGGAAGGATAAAAAAAAAAAACGTAAAAAAATTCTAGCTCCGGTGTTTTTTAAAATTTTACCTTCTACTCTTGGGAACATTTTTTTTTATATATTTCTGAATTTCGGTTTTTTTGTTTTTTAAATCGGATCACTATATCATATAGCTGCCATAGGAACGGTCGAAAAATTAAAAGGAAATTAATGGGAAAAAAATTATATCTTTGTTGGTTTTTATTACAGTTCCTTCTACTCTGGGATATGACTATTTTGAAATATTTCCGAATTTCGATTTTAATTTTTAAAAGATCGAACTACTATATCATATAGCTGTGATAGAAACGATCGAAAAATTAATGTGAAATAATAAAAAATTTAACATTTTTGCGATTTGTAAATTAATAGAATGATCTGCAAGGGTACATAAGCTTCGGCTTGCCGAAGCTAGCTTCCTTTCTTGTTTTATTTTATTACTCCTAGGTATTTACCAAATATCTAAGCCATACAATAAAATTGACTGATTAGAAACACTATACAGCGTAGAGTTAATATGGCTTTTCTTTCCATTAGTAAACAATTACTATTTTGTTGGTATTTCTTTAACACAATTATTTAAATTGTCATTCTGTATTATAAAGAATAAGTTTACCTTCAATTATCCTCAGTATATATTTAAATGATTACTTTTCTTTGACTCACTCTAGTTTCCATTTCCAAATGGTTTATATATGCACTCTTCAACCTAATCTTATCCCCCAACCGACACTTTCTTGGCCAATTACTCACCCGTTAGTCAGGGACTGCGGTTCTAGCGAGGAGAACTCCTCCTCGACCTCGCCAATGGTGGGCAGCATGTTGGAGTGCCAGAACATGTTGAAGTAGGCCTCCGAGGGGCCGGGACCATTGATCAGCTCCGGAGGTCCCAGCTTCTCGCCGTCCTCGCAAATGTACTCCCTGTTGGCGGCATCCAGATCGTCCTCGTCCTCCTCCCCGCTGCTGGAGCTCGAGTAGCAGGTGGTGGTGTTGTTATCATCGGCGATCTTCATGCATTTCCCGACGACCAGCGGAGGGGGAGATTCCCGCGAGAGATCGGCAGCCTCGGCAGCGGCGGCGGCCAGAAGAGCGGTGATACTATTGTGGTTCCGCAGTGGTTCACTATCTTTATCTGCTTCCTTATCCTTCTCCTTATCCTGACTGTGAACCAGGTCAAATAAGCTGGGCAGTTTGTCTTCGTCCTGCGCTTTGCTCTCGTAAGTCTGAATCTTGAAGCGTATCTCCCGATTACTGGTCGGCGATGGGGTTCCCACTGGCGTGGATCTGGGAGTGGGTGGGCTCTGCCTGAAGGTCTGCATACTCAGTTTGGGTATCTGTTGAGGCGGCGTTGTGGGAAGTGCCTGCAACTTGGGTATCTGCGTTTTCTGCAGCGACTGAACTCGCTCTGGTGGCTTGGGCTTCGGTCCTTTGGGCGATCTTCCACTATTTCCACTGCTATTGCTGCCAATCGAACTAAGGCTCTCCAGGGAGTTGGAGCTCTTGGAGTTGCCATTTAATAGGACCGGGATAAAGGTCCTTTCCGGCGCCTCGGCGGAGTTGGCCCTCTGCAAGGGCGGTCGGGGACTAGCCTCCTTCGATTTACTCCTGTACAGGTTCAGTTTCAAATCCGTTTCGGATTTCTGCTTCTGCAAAAGCCGTGGAATATTCGAACCGGGCGATGATCCATTCAGCGAGGGTGACACTGGCTTGGGCACAGATTTCGGGGTACTGACTATGGGTATCCGGGACTTGCCCTGCGGCGACTGCGGTTTCAAGGGCTGCAAATGCAGCTTGATCTCGCCCTCTGTCTTGGCCCTCGAGAACTTGGCCTTTGGTATTTTGGTAGCACTGATGGGTGAGTCCTTCGATGGGGGAGTCTCATTTGTGGGTGTCTTCGGAGAGTCCAGCTTCTCGTTGGTGGGCGTCTTGGGCTCCTCCACCAGCGAGGGAACGCGCGGTGGAGAAACCTCAATCGGCAGCTTACTGGGTGCAGGTATTTTTCGTGGCGTAGGCAGGATGGAGCGCTTCTTCGGCTCCACGGTGGCCAATTGGACACGGGGCTTTGGTGTGGGCGTCGTCTCCGGACTCCTGAGCACCATATTTTCGTACACATTGACCTTCTCCGTTTTGAACTCGACATTCTCGTAGTTGTTGCCCGGAATCAGCAGCTTGGGATGTCCCATCGGCTGCTCCAGGGGCAGAAACTCCTGCTCGAGGAGAGTGAAGGGCTGCAGAACCTTGGCCAACTCGTGGCCATTGAGACTGCTGTCCGAGGAGGAGTAGGCGGAGCCCATGGAGAACTTGTCGATGACGGTGGATATGGTGCTGGCAGTGTCGTCCGACTCGGAGCCCGCCTTGATGGACTCGGTGAGCAGATTCAGGTAGTATTCCGCATCCGGCGGCGGCGTCAGCGGCTTCTCAATCACCAACTGTGCCTGATTCTCCTTGGAGTTCTGCCGCCTAACCAGCTTCCTGGGTGGCACAGGTGGCGGTGGAGGTGGCTGGGCATTCAGGGTGATCGAGAGCTGCTCCAGCTGGGGATCCTCCTCGCTGGGTGGCTTCTGGCCGTGTCCATTTCGCACCACCAACTGGATGGCCACGTTGTCTTTGAGCCCGCGAACGCAATCGATTCGGGTCATTTCCCGCACATCCCGACCATCGATACTCACGATCTCATCGCCCTCGCGGAGATTCCCCCAACCGGTGGCCACTTTGGAGGCGGGACTGTCGGCGGCGCAGGATTGTATGTATAGTTTCTGGACGAGCTCTGTGCTCCGAGTGCCTCCTTGGAACTTGAGGCCAAAACCGAGGCGTTCACCCGGCAATCTGAACACTGTGACATCCTCTACTTGCTCCTCCTTTGCTGAAACTGGTTCGCTTCTGACCTCCTCCTCCTGTCGTCGCTGCTGCAGGAGCTCCATCTCATTGATGGTCAGCACTGTGATGAACGATGAGTCCTCCGCCACGGAGCTCTGCCGCTTGACTAGCTTCTTTAGGCGATCCTTCGAGGAGGACGTGGGATCGTCCACTTCCACAACCGTTATGTAGTCGTCTTCCATGGTTGCTGTCTTCGCTGTGGTGCCATTCGCTTTTGCTGTAGAGGCCATTTTTACAGTTTGGAGTCAGAGCCTGTGGCGAAAATATAAATCAGAATTGTTGTTATTAGTACTCCAATTGCAATTTATAAATAGTGGAATTTTAAATTAAATTTTAGTAACTACAGGCTGTAAAAAAATAATAATAAATATTGTAGAATCTCAAACAACAAAACCCAAATTACGCGATAGAACAAGTCGTCTTTTATTTACACTTATCTTCAGTAAAAATGATTAAAGGGTCATGAAATAGACAACAACAAAATGTAAAAGATAATCATCAATGGTTGATCAATCAGGCTTAAACCTGGATTTTGGTTGGTTTCTTCAATAGAGCTTTACCAAGAGATCATTGTTGAACACGTTGGTGTAAGTTAGCTTTCGAACCTTATGTCAAGATTGTAGAAGAGGTTAAACATTCTACACGATGGATTCTACTGTGTAGATCAGTTGGTATATAGTAAGTTAATGTAAAATCACAGGCTTTGTAAAAAGCCGCCAGATGTCGCTTTAATAAGTAAGTAAGATGTATTATGGTCTTAATTGTCATCAGGAAAATTTTAAATTCCAATTAATTGGTTAATTAATATTAATTAATGAAGCAATTTTAAACTGTTTTACTTAGGAAAATACAACTTTAAGCTGAATTTTAAAGTGCAATCTAAGCTCTCCGTCATTTTTCTTCCCGCTTCCTTTGCTCCCTCATCTAACTAATGGATGTTGGGGTTCCGGGTCCCCCGGATTTTTCTTTCGGCGTTTTTCTTTCGCTGCCATGTTCCACTGTCAACAGAGTTGGAAAAATTTTTATTTATGCACTTTGTAGCGCCAAAATTCTCCGGCGGCACCTGTCAGTCAACACTCGGGATAGCACAAACAGTTAGGCGGCCCCGGGGTCCAGGGAGCAAACAAAGGAGCGGAATCTGGGTGGAGGAACGCGTTCTGGATGGACAGTGGCTGACTGGCAGCCGCTGACCATGGACATGCACACAAGAAGAAAAAGTACTGATTGAAAAATTTCTCCAAGATTGAAAATCAGAAATCTATTTAAACTAGAAAAACATTTTTTCAAAGGTGGCTTTTGATTTTTATAATTATCTAACTATTTCAGTAACAGTCTAATTCGTTAATTCAAAAGATAATGGATTTACATTAATTGATTTTTCATTACAATATATCATAAACCCTTTTGACAAAATATTATAATACATTAAAGAAATGTGAAGAATTATAAAAAAAGTAACTAATTCGAATCATTTTATATATAGGAGTAACTATCTAACTACCTCTAGAAAACATTTTTTCCTTAGTGCAGTAGCAAACAAAATGACCAAATGGGGCGCCGAGGAAAGTCGAGAGATGGGAGTGGAAAAATCGGGAAGCGAGGGACTGCGATGGGTTGGCAGACGAATGCCAGTCAAAGTCGCTGCTGACTGACACAGTTTGCCATTTTCGAGGAGGAAGCTGTTTGACCAGTAGATGAAGGACCGGGAAAACCGGGCAGTGCGGGGAATCCGGGCTAAAGCCGGGCAATTGGTAAGTGCTCGCTGTCTAATTGAAGTCAAGTGCGTTACTCTGAGCCACTTCTATCCAACGGATGCCCAATCAAATTCGTTTCGCACCAAAGCCAAACCAACTTTGACATTATGCAGCACAAATTGTGTGCAATTTTCAGCCGAAAGAGGAATGCCAAAAAAAGAGGAGAAATATATATTTCACAGCTCAGAGAAGGTGGGAAAAAGACAGCATACGAAAAAACTGGCTCAATGAGGGCTCCAATCTTCGGCCCAAACTGTCTGCCACATCGTCTAAAGGTAACAATTTATATAATGAAACTGATTTCAAATTTCTGATGTTCAGCGAAGTCCCGGGGAACTGACTCGACTCGTTTGCCCAATTGCAATCCCGGTCCTGTTCTCGTTCCTGCTCCCGACATTGGTAATTACCGGGGCAGCGGCCAAAACAACAGTTATAGCCACATAAAAAGTAAGTAAAAAACACACGATAAGTAAGGATGGTCGCAGTGGAGAAAAAAAGTCCGAAATAAATAAAAGCGACATAATTGGAAAGGCTTCTGGGTGTAGAAGGTAGAATGCCATAGAGAAGTTATCGAAGTTCTTAAATTAAGTAGTGCTTTATGTTTTTTTGTATAATAATATCCTTTAAAATTATTGCATAGCAATAATAATAGATTAATTTGTAATTAGGAAATTTTTAAAGTTAAAAAATTAGCCCTAGGTTTAATTTAATACACAAAAAAAAAACAGCAGAGAAACTTATTAATTTAAAATCTTTTTATTAATTTTAAAAATTAGCCCTAATTTACATTTAATCCCCACACAAATACAGCAGCAAAACTTGTTAAACTTATTAATTTTAAAAAGTATTCCTAGTTTAAATTTAATTCCCAAACCAAACAAATACAGCAGCGAAACTTATTCGTCTCCAAAAGGGTATACAACAGTAACAACAGTAGCGGTAAAAATACAGTAAATTGAAACAAGTTTAAGAACTGAACCGACCAGTGTCGTGCTTATTGGTCACCTGTCCGCCGAGGAAGAGCTCCATCGAATACTTTTCGATTACTCTCCCCCAAAAAATGTACCCATTCGTGGACGAGGGGCCTTTTATGAGGAATGGGGATGGGGAAGGAGTTGCTACATGATTCGGCAACTTTCTTGCAACGGACCTCTGCAACTGGTGGAGAGAAAAAACCCGTCGCTAAATCATCTGTTCGGAGCCAAAAAAAAAATACAAAAAGACAAAACAAAAACCCACCTGACTGCCTGACTTTGTGTGGGAGTCTGTGGTGCAAGATTTTTGCGGTGGCTTTGAAAATGGTTTGGAATTTTTCCCCCCGCCGTTTTGCAACACGTTGATTCCTTCTTTTTGTTTGATAAAAAGAAAGTTGACATAAATTGTTTGGTACTTCTCTGTTTTTTTTTTGCCAATTTTTTTCTTTGCACATTTGAGGCAGCAGAAAACCCAAAAAACATTTGCGGTTGCCTTTTTTGTTTCGTCGTGCACAGGAAGGAAATAAGCGAGGCTGAATCGAGTTTTTGGCAAAGTTGTTGTGGGATTTTTTGGTTTTCTTTTCATTTCTTTGGGTGTTGCATTTTGAAAGTTCGTGAAACAAGTTAATCGCCTCCGTCTTTGTCTTGATTTTATGGTTAGTTCAGATGCGGTTAGTTTCGAGTGACAAGGGAGTGATAAGTGGGTTGGCAGTTGATTAAGGTTTTCGTCGATCTTATGTAACGCTCTTGGATTTTGTTTGGAAGCTAAATAGGATGGTTTCTGCCTAATATGCCATAAAAGTCTCATGTAAAATGAACACTTGGTATTTTTTATGCAATATTGTTTTGTATTGGGCCAATGTTGAAAAAGACGGTACAGCAATATTTTTAGTTCCCTTTTAGTTTTATTTGAGGAAGTGTTGTCACATAAATACAAAACAAATGGAATTTCTGTAAGTTATTTATGATAATATTATGCAAATAATTTTGAAAATGTTTTAAAACTGGTATTTTATTATTATATTTTATAATTTGATAATAGGAAAAAAGTTTCTAATTATTCTAGTTATTTCTGATTTCATGTAGATCCCATTAATAAATGTAATAACAATGATTTATTATCTGATTTAAGTCTTATACAGTTTTTTAATAACTATAAACAGTTTTTCCAAAACTCGTACTGTAGATAAAAGTCTTATCTCAAGATCTATTTAAATCAGTTTCCCGCATAAAGCGCAAAGCATAATTATCCCTTTAAAAACAGCATTAGAAAATTTCTTATCGGCATGGCCCACGCAAAGCAATTGTTTTGATATTGCTACTTTCCCTGTCGGGTTCCCATATTAGGTTTAATAACATTAACTTAAAGGCACTTCCCATTTCCCATTTCCCCCTCATTCGATTTCATTAACAAATTTGCCCGCTGTGTTTGAAAAATATGCTTTAAATGCATTTAATTAAAAACATTTATGCAAATTGCAAGCGGTGGCCATTATAACAGCAACAAAAACTGAGTGCAACGATGAACAATGAAGGCAGTAAAGGCTTCGGCTTCCCCCCTTTTGCAGTTTTCAGCAGAGTTTCACACCATTTGCTATGCGACTGACCGCAGTTGCCCGGCCCCCTCAGTTTTCCCCCACTTTTCCACCCCATCCCCCCTGGCTACTCTTTCTTGCTCATTATCTTTGCTGGGGCAAATTATGGGAAACTAGCGCAACAGTTTTTTTGCCCCCTACCTTACCCCTTGGAAAAAAGTCAATGCTTATGCTAATTTCTTTTGCTGCGGAACTTCCTTTGTCCCCCTTTTTCCACCCTCCCTCTCTATCCATTCCACTTCGAATGCATTTTAATTGCACTTTTTCCTGCCAGTCCGCAAGAAACTAATAACTAGCAATTTATTAAAATGTTTTGCGGTTTGCCAGCAAAGTGCCGCGTTGATGCAGCGAATACTCGTGTCTTGTACAATTTTGGACATTTGTTTTTGCTACACAAAATGTATAAAGAAATATGGAAAAACGAGCTGGGGAAGCAGCAACGAAAAGCCAAGAAAATAAGCCAAGAAATGGATTTTTGCTATGCGAGCCAAATGCGTTAAGCGAGGCGTGAAAATTTCTCTACCCAACTCGCTGGCGATTTATGTGAGAATTATGTTAAATTAGCCAGCGAAGCGTGCGGTGCGACGCTTCCCCCTCCCCAAAACCCTCTTCAGCTCAAGGCAGACTAACAAATCTGATAAATTCATCAAAACCAACAAAAAATCCAAGAAATTTGAAGGTAAACAAGTTGGTTTCAAGTGGAGTAAGTGTGAACTAGTTCATCTTTCTGGGAAACTAATTTGAAAGGATGGTTAATGGGACTACACTCATTTGAAAAGATGGTTAATGAGATATGTCTCTCTCTACAAGATCATAAGCTTAACCAACTATGATCTGCAGTTTTGCTTTAACTAAAAGAAATTAGTATTCACTAATAAACCTAAATAAAAAACTTGTTCATATAGCAGAACATGTTATAAAATGTATGGTATATAATACCATAATTACATAACAAAATTATCATTGTTTTACTGTGATATTTTTGTCACAATGTCGCTTCAATTCAAACTTATTTCAAAGCAATATTTTTTGAGCATCCAAATTTTGTTAAAGAGATATACACGCTTCAAAAAGAAATACTGAACGATGAACCAAAACAAGGAGCCTTTCGATGAATCGGGATCAAGATCCGAGGAGGAGAATGGGAGATGTCTTTTAGATGCCCTCCTTTTGCAAATGTTTCACCTCATGGAAGACCGGGAGCTTCTACAAATGCAGGTAAACAAGGAGTCATGTAGAGCTCGATTAATCCTGGCCAGGGTCAGAATGCACCAGGGTTGTCAACGAAATTCAGCAGAGGCCCTATTACCGAGGGGGCGACCCTACAAGGCTCTCACTCGCGTTGTAGAAGAACCAAGTTCCTGGGGCAAGGTTTTCAAGATCATCCGACTTCCAGTTGACCCAATACTTGGATATTTCCGACCCCTCACCAATATCTTTGGCTGTCTGGTGCCAAATAGCTTGCGTATTGCGAATCGGCATTGGGATCACTGTCTGGATCTAGTTGTAGAATGTGCCAACATACAAAGAAAACTACAGTCAACCATCGTTTCTATAAAGAAGATCCGATTCTCCCTGGATGGAAGGCAGTCACCTCAGATGATCTCAGATTAAAAGACAACCGAAAAGCTAAGATAAAAGTAATGCTCTATAATATATAATTGGAAACGCCTGATCACCAAATATAATCTCATTTAAAATGTAATCTTTATAATCGTATAAAATTGCATTTGGATAAAATGTATCTCCACTGAAGGATAGGGAACTTTGCTTCGATAACATGAATTCAAATATTTTTTAAAAAACGTTTAATAAGAATAAATACAATTCTATTTTTATGGTATTGTCTTTTTTATTTGTTTATTTTATGTTTATACATTTTTTCTTATTTACTAGAAATAAGTCTTTTTTTGATTTCGAGAAGTAATTAAATCGCGAAATAAAAATATAAATATAAACTAAAATGTAAGCTTCTTGCACCTACGCGCTGCGAGTTAAAGGTTTTATCTATGTAAATTAAGCAAGCAGTTGGCATTTCATGAATATTACTACACAACTCTTTCTGATTGCACGTTTTTAATTAAGATAAATGGCCCTGTTCCCTGAACTCAACACTGATTTCCCCGTGGCAGTCCCTCCAAGTGCCTTCTCGATAGCCCATGCAGTGCCTGGCATCAATTATAGTCTAGTTAAAAATAAAATCAAATGCCAGAGCAGCCAGCATTGACAACATTGTCGATTCGGTGGCCAGCTAGCCCAGCCGCCCCTTCTGGGTGCCCCGCCCCCTTTTTGTTCCGAAGTCGTGGCGGCGGCAATTATGCGGCATTTTCTTTGGCCCCTAGCCACAAACGAGTTTCTTTCCGCCGAGATATCTTTGTTTTCGCTGTATTTCAGCGACATGCAGCGGCAACTACAACAAAATACCAGAAATAACTTGAAAATCCATTAAACAACTGTCGGCCACAAGTCGGCCTGGCAGGCAGAAAAAGGGATAAAGATAAAGGTTTTGTCAACTCCGCGAATCGAAGGGAAGGCGGCTGTGGGGCCCTGACAAGTGATAACAATGTGTCAGGCGATGTCGGCGGAAAAGGAAAACGTCCTTGGCTTCGATTTTCGCTCGGCAAACTTCAACTCTGACTTCGACTCTTATTGATTTCTGCAAACAGTCGCGGGGCTAAAAGTGAAAGGCCACTGCTAGGGTTTCCATAACCTGTTTCCACAAAATATTTGTACAATTCGTATTTCTTTTGCATTAAGAAAGTAAAACCAGATGTCGATTGAGGGAGTTGCGTGGGTCACACGCGGTCCAGTTCCCCAGAAAAAATAAATAAAAACACAACTCCACGATCGAGCGAAAGAACTGGATTTCCATGCGATCGTGGGCTGCTACTGGAAACCATAAACTACTCAAGTCAATTCGCGCCCAAAAATAATATTTGTGTTTATATCGATTGAAAATAACTCTTACTTTTCATTATATACAGTTCTAAATTAAAACACAGAATTGAAAACCAAATCAAAACGAAAACTTTAGTTGCATATAATATTTATCATTAAAATAAATAAATAATTTTCCAAAACATTTTAAAATTTTACTTAATTAATTAATGCAGTAACAAGAATCCCTTGTATTGACTGCTATCCAATCCAAGTAACGAGAGACCCGAGTGTAGACACCAGGAGCATCGGGCTTGGCACATCCGTAGCCAAAGGACACAACTCCAGCCAGTCGGAAAATTCGGTCCCTGACAATCAGGGGACCCCCGCTATCACCCTGGAAAATGTATTCAAAAAGTGTGGGTATTTGCGGACTCAGGGGGAAATTAATTGATACTTTTATAATAAGAATGTAAATCGCAAATAATATTTTAAAAATGTAATGGTTTAGGTAAAAGACTCTTAAAAAAGTAAAACAAAATTACAAATTTAAAATTAGCTTAAGAATTGTTGTTTTTCTAAATTTAAGGATTTTTTTGTATATAATTTAAAAAATACAATTTTGACTTAAATATTGAGATCAAACTTAATAAATATTTTTTGGGATAAACACGATTCTTCTCAAAAGAAATCATTTAAAAGGTAACACCCTTGTGATTGTTTAAGTTTCAAGGACGATCTTTCCATAAAGTATCGATTCATTTACGAAACCCACCTGACAGGCATCCCGTCCTCCGGTTTGGACATAGCCCGCACACATCATGGTGTCCACGATCATGGACCTGTACGAGGTGGCTCGGCACTGGGCATTGGTGATGATGGGCACCACCACCTCCTGCAGGACACTCGAGGTGGAGCCACCCTCCTGGCTCAGGCCCCATCCCGCCACGATGGCCTTCTGGAAGTCGAAGTTCTGCAGCCAGTTGCTGGGCAGGCAGGCGGGTCGCATCGTCTCCACCAGCGGAATGGGCTGGTCCAGTCGCAGGAGGGCTATGTCGTGGACCAGGCTCACCGGGTCGTAGCCCACGTGGGCATGGGCAAAGGCCACCGACCGGGTGACTCCCGGGTGGGTGGAACTTCTGTCCAGTTGCAAGAGTCTCACGGACACGCCCCGCATGTCCATGCCGTGGACGCAGTGGGCGGCGGTCAGGACATAGCGATCGTTGATCAAAGTCCCGCCGCAGAACAGGAAGGTGCCGCGGATGATCTGGGCAATCCACGGATATTTATTCGTCCGCACTTGGGTGCCGCCCACAATGCGATTCACATTGGGAACGCCGCAGGCTGCAAGAGGATTGGAATCGGAATTCAATGTGGTCTTTGATCAGGGTGGTCTTTTGGTGGCCAACTGTCTTAGCCAGGGAATGGAAACGGGGCAATCGCAGGTACAACACTCTAAGGTGTTCCTAAGCTCAAATAGTATTATCCACTAAAACTTTTACAATCTTTAATTCATTTATGTTAAAAGTTTCTTATTCCAAATGGATTTCAAATAAAATGTTAATTGTGTTTTAAATTTCTCGACAATTTATAAATGGTTTCAAATTAAATTGAGAAAATTCGAGATATGCAGTTAATGATTTTTTTAGTTTTCACTGATAAAATTTTTTTATTAAAATAGATAAGGTCTTCTGCTTATATTTGATCTTATTACTTTTTATGATTTTAATACATGAATAAGTACACTTTTTTTACGGCTTCAATATTTGCTCAATTTGATTATACGAAAAGCCAACGAAATAAAGTCGTTGACTATGCTCACTGCGCGTTCCACAAACACGTTTGCATGTAATGCGTTTCTCAATAGGCGTACAATAACCGATTCAAATTCCCAATTATTAGCCGAAGATTAGCCGCGACCGTTTCACTCCCTGGCTGGACTCGATTGGCACTACAATTTTCCCAACTCACTGCAGCTGGCACAGCGATTAACGCGAAACGCCTTTGCACCACCGCCCTCGAGGGGGAAAATCGGGGAGGAGGAGGATGCCGGATCCGAGGGAGTTTCGCTGGCCACGCCCAAGACATTCGATAAGATTTGCTGCTTATGGCCCTCAATCAGATCATCAATGAAATCCGATTGCACTCCGGGCGGTGGGCCGGGATTGGAAGTCTCAGTCGAAGTCGAACTCGAAGTCGTAGATCCATTGACTGGCAGAGGTGGCAATCTCGCTGGCTTCGGATAGAAATAACCGCGGGAAGGTGGCTTATAATTATAGACGGCCCAACTTCGATCGCAGATCGAAATGAGAGCGAGTAGAAGGAGTAGAACAACTGGCGGATTGAGTTTCATATTCCCGGCGAACCGATCGAATCGCTTAGCAAACGCAAACTGATGGTTTGCCCTAGCCATTTAACGGTTCTTATAGGCCAGCACGCTCAACAGATCCATCTTGGTATTTAAATACACATATATGTATGCGCCAAAAACATTAACAACTTAATGAAGCTCTTAAACTGTCCATCAAACTATTTTATCAGCCAAAATTTCTTTGCATATTCCAAATCTTCAATCGAAAGCCCTTTATCATCACTTGACCTAGTTTCGCGAAAAGAACTGAACCCATTTGTCAATAAATCTGGCAAATATCTTTTTTAGCATTTTACCATCGCAGAACTTTGATGTCTGCGCATCGATTCCATGTTTTGTCTTTATCAAAACTTTATGTTAATGGTCAAATCCGCTTTCTTTTCACGAGAAACAGAAAAAACCCCTCATTGGTTATAAATCTAATTAAGCACTCAAATTTCAGAATTGATATCGCCCAAGAGATTAATAACTCTTGTTCTGCTTAACGTTCAGACCCATAAATGAATTAGAGAGATTTCAGAGAAATTGGCAATCTTTTTTCCACATTTGCACGACCCATAAAGGAGCAAAATTAAAGGTTGATGAGAACATTAAAGGTTAAACCGCATGTGTGGTGAAAGAATATTTTTCTGATCGCCTCGTAATTCCAAGTGATCGAGGAGTAGTGACCACATTTGTTGCTGGGGTTAATAAAGGTTAATTCTGTTTGGTAAATCGATACATAAGATGTGAAAAGAATTGAAAAAGTATCTTTTAAAGTAATAAAACCTTATAAAATCAATTGATTGTATACCTTATTCGGGATAGTTTCCCTGCCTTAATCAAATTATCATAATAATATCGAAAGATTTTTCTTTCCTAATATCACAGGGAAGTAGTCACGGAAAACGCTTATACCTCTAATAATAGCCAAAAAACCCGAAAAAAATTTCCTCAAATGAAAGTAAATTGACTTCCCCAAATCAAAAGCTTAACAAGAGACCCATAAAATCGTTCGAACAACACGAGATATTCTTAAGCCGTTCGCGGGGAAAATAGAAAGTAAAAAGAACTCTGAAATAAATTGGGTCAAACTAATGAAGATGCCGATAAAGATGCGTATAATCGAAAAGCCGAGCCGGAGGACTGGAAATACTTGTAAATGGGTTGATGTTTATAATCTGTCCGCTTGTTGGACCAACAGCCAACCCAAAGACCCGAGCCCCAAACCTCGATCACCGATTTCCAACAACTGTAATGGTACAAGGTGCACGAAAACCAGGCCCAGTCTTCGACTTCGACGTCGACTTCCACTTGGGATCTGACCCCCGGAGAAAGAGCATCCAAGAATTTGGGTCAGACAAAGAAGAAGTGAGGCGTTAGCTTGGAAGAATTGAATAGATGATGACACCAAAGCCAAAGCAACAGACTCACGCACACCGCGCCAGAAAGAAAGTCTCTTTAATTTATTTATTTATATGCAGGCCGCTAGAATCAATGAGAAGAAAGTTCTTCCATGCCAATCCAGCATCCCAAAAGAAACGAGTTTCTCTCTTTTTGGGCCTCTCCAACTCTCTTCCACTCAGAACGAAACTTGACTTGACT